AAATGGCTTCAACAAGGTAGTAATAGTTGTTCCCCCAAAAAATGGAATTTCAGAGCCACTGAAGGGTGGGTAGGGTGAAAACTAAACTTTAGTAAGATAAGTATTTAGAATTACCCCTTCCCCAAGATAAATCCTGCCACGTCTTTAACAATATGTTCATCAATTTGGCATGATATTGATGTGTTAAACTTAAAAATCTAACATTTAAAAATAATTTACCATACATTTCAAGTTACAACAGTTTCAACATAATTAAAATATTTGGGTTGTTTATCATAGGGATGAACGCATAACAAAATTAGATGTTGGGGATGCTCGTCTCACAAAACTAGATCTTGGGGATGACTGCCTAAAAAAATAAAATCAATTTAGCATAACAGAATCGATAGGATACACGTTTCTTGTAAAGTGGTTTTATTGAAGGATTTACGAAGAAAATATTTTCGGTAATTTTTACCCAAATGCTTCTTCTGAAGGTGTCGGCAAAATGGGAAAATAAGTATTTGAACAATTTTTTTTTAATTTAATACTTTTTCCCATCGTTTGACAAGTTATTTGGACACTTTGTTTATTTTATGACGTGTCGAAAAAATGGGAAAAAGAGCCGGTTTTGTAAAACATTGTAAGGTCAGATCAGTCTGTGGTGTGACAATTAGCCCACACAGTGAGCTGGTTTTGTAAAGCATTGCAAAGTCAGATCAGTCTGTGGTGTGACAGTTAGCCCACAGAATGAGCTGGTTTTGTAAAACATTGCAAGGTCAGATCAGTCTGTGGTGTGACAGTTAGCCCACAGAGAGAGCTGGTTTTATTAAGCATTGCAATAATCAGATCAGTCTGTGGTGTAACAATTAACCCACACAGTGAGGTGGTTTTGTAAAATATTGCAAGGTCAGATCAAAACGTGATGTGACAGTTAGCCCACAGAGAGAGCTGGTTTTGTAAAATATTACAAGGTCAGATCCTGATCAAGGAAAATACGTTCAATGAGGTTTAAATCTATAGGAGTGCCTGAAAGGAATTCTGAAACATGGGTATGAAGTATAGGAAATTGTATGGACAAACATATTCATGCTGGAAAATTCATAACAAAAAGATCTTTCAGTAGGACAGTGATGTCAACAAAGTAGCCAAACAGCACTTAAACAATATCAATGTGAATCGTTCAAGAACTATGAATGAACAGGGGAGTGAAGTGATTATTTACAAGATGTGGTTGAATTACTACTAGAAATCTTTCACAAAAAGGACTGGCTTCTAAATAAACATGAAATATATAAAATACCCAGAATATTTTATTATTAATATTATTTATGACTTAGTGTCTAATTGTTTCTTAAAATAACACATTCCTATTCTATTTTGCATGTCATTGGGACAATATTGTAAATAAAATAAAAACGCATAATTGAAATGATTCTGTTTTGAACAAATTCGTTTTTTTATGCTCTGTGTAAAATTAGAGCAAGAGTGGGTGTGGTGAGTTAATACAAACACCAGCTGAATATCACCAGTTAGAATCTGACACGTCCATGTTTAAACAGTTTCCAACCTTAAGGGTATTATTATGTTGGCATTCTGGACAAAGAAAGAAATATTTTTGTAAGTATACTAAATTAAATTGTGCATGACAGGAACTTTAAAATATTAGCATAAATTTAAAGTAGACATATATTTTTCTGCAATAAACTTGTGACTTAATGCTTTATATTTACTCCATTACAATACAAGACAATGAACAAGGAACCCACAGAATTTGAAAGTAGGCTTAACTCTATAGTAAAGTGACCAACAACGGTTCGTAAGCATGGTTAAAACGTTACGTTGAAAACATGTTACACGTTCGACAGAAGGGAAGTAGTATGTTCTCTACATAACGTTCTCATTATGCGTATACATCGTTGTTGGTCAATTTAATATTTTATTAGCATAATACGCTTCCGTACATAAGTAATTTTACGGTGTTAACCTTCACATACGCCATCTGGTTTTATACTTGTGTTACTTCCTTTTCAAAATATTCCCTCCTTTGTTGTATGAGAGATATATAGTTAAATATTTTCTGTCCAAGTTTCTTGTATTTGCCTATAACTACTAATATTTAATGACAGTAATAATTCCATACTTGATTTTTTATGACAGCAATACTTGCACACTTGGTTTTTAGTAGCATCAGGTGAGAGTTTGTTAAAACTATATTCAGAAGTTTACTCAATTATTGGGTGCGAAGAAAAATTTCAAACCTTCTATAGAGATGTAATTTCACAGTTTAATATCTTGTATATCTAATGAATTTATACGTAACAGTTTCTACCGATTCATACAACAGTGTACAAGTTTTTGTTAAATAAAAGGTTTTAGATGGCCGTTGTTTGTGTACGGTTCCTCAAAGTCTGAGTATAGTGTCGGTGTGTAAATAAAGAAGATTATGGGCATAAGTAATATGATCAACTAATCTTGTTCATTACTGTAAATGGGTAAAGGGATTATACGCTATAACTACATAGACTTAGAATTATTTATTTTTGTTCAAAGACCGAGCGTAGTTCAGAACCTTGGACTACTTTTTTAAGTTCTTTTCTTTCAGGTTTCCGCATGGCTTTGAGATGGTCGGCTTGGCCCGACGACGAAGTTTACCTTGCCGCCTGAACCCGTAGAATCGGATTTGTGTTCTTTCTTCGCAACCACAAGCTCGTTTCTAAGGGTCTAGGCTGTGTGGGGGTCGGCACTGAAAGTATTTGATCGTCTCCATTAGTTGATTTGTTCTGGTTCTTAAACCACTTCCTCTGTTGATTGGTTCTGGTTCTTAAACCACTTTCTCTGTTACCGTTCTGCTGTTTCGTTTTTATTATTAGTTTGTTCTTTTTTGTCTTTCAAGTATTTACTTAGATCCACAGCACACGAGAATGGCCTTGTTTACATATTTACGTAAACAGATATATAACTATAAAAATTAACATATTTATGTTTGGTATTGGCTAGATAGACAAATTGGGGCTGTAAAGTGTGACATGGGGCACCGAGATAGCTTGAATAATTAGACCAATGAAAAGCAGTATTCTTGTGGGTCGAACGAATAAGAAACTTATCCCCGTGTCCACTCTTGTCTATGATCCTCCCCCCATGGGAGTCAACAGGCTGTCAGGAAGTGGTGCGGCCACCCATCGACCAACTTCTACTGTAAACCAATAAAATGATAGAGAACAGATTAGACCTTAGAAATACCTTCATAACACATTGCATTTTGTTAATATAATTCGTTTTATTAAGGATAACAACACTTGTATCTCCAGGTCGGATGACAATGATGATTTATTCAGGGCAGTGTATTCTTCGTGAGTGGTTTCAACAATTAGTTTAAAAACTGAACCAGTCATTTGTATGTTAAGTGTTGTCAGCTTAAGAATGGACGAACACTCATAGAAGGAAAATGTAATAAAACTGTATTTTTGTTAGAAATATCTTGGTATGATAACAGCATTCAAAGAAGTTAAAATTAAAACTTCAAAACAGTAAAGGCTTCCGAGTGGAAAAATATGTAGATATTTAAGTAATTTGAAATCTGAAAAAGGTAAATTGTGGGAAAACCCTTATCTGAAGCTCACTAAGCTAGGATATTATTATTATGTAAGTATTTAGCCTATTTGAAATCAACAAAAGGTATATTGAATAGGAATCCCATCTAAAAGTCATTAGATCACAACCGCAGGAGATTGTATTGTTATTATGTCTCTAAGAATTGCAAGGTTAGAATTGTTTTGTTTTTTTTCTCTAAGGCTTGAATGAACCAATTCCTACCTACCTAGTGCACAGTTTTTATCCAGTGTGACTGAGTAAAAAATAAAGTTTTAGTTTCAGTATTTTGTTATAAACTGTATGTCTGAAACGAAGACTAATGGCTGTTATCAATAATAAAATTAACATGGTTTGTTCATTAACGAACGTATAAACGTTTTCCCAACTTTAAGCAAGTGTTTGAAAATTCACATAGAAAGACACAATAATGTCCATATAAATTATTTACCGTAAGCTGATATTATGTAGACAGTTTAAAACGTTAAGAAAAGTTCAACATTTTTCAACTGTATGCGCGAATATATCTTGATACATTTTCTACGTAATATTTTTATTGTCCCAAAATAAACAGAATAATAAAAGAACTGGTAACGTTGATCAGAAAATGTGTTATATTGTACAGTTGACAACTTTAAACTGTGTTTTGACTTTCACATTATATAATGCGTTATTATGATATCGGTAGTTGATCAAGTACCACAGCAACGAAAGAACTGCTTAATGTAAAATATTTGTTTTTAGTGCAAAGCTACACAGTGGACTATATCCATTCTGTACCATCATGGGATAGAATGGAACCCCGGACTTTAGCCCGTGAATTTATCGCTGACCCACCAGCGAACATGTAAAAGAGAAGATGAGTCGATAATATATATATGTTTACATACAAGCGTTACTCTAAATAGACTTTCTAAGTTTCAGATTTACCAAGTAAGTAATGTAAGAATTAGCTAAGGAATCAGAATGATATTTAGAATATGCCTACAGTTTTACAGTAAGTAAACGTTTTGGATTTCGCATTGATGAAGTAAATAATGTTAGAAGTTATTGTGCATCACAGACCTTGTGCTTAGCATATATCTACAGTTTTATATTAAATGAACGTTTTGGATTTCACATTGATCAAGTAAATAGTGTAAGTAGCTACTTTGTAAATAACAAAGCTTATGTTTATCAAGTTGTACATTATGTAAAATAGAAGTAATGAACTTGGTATGAAACTTTATCTCCTGCATTAGAGATAAGCTCTATTTCCAGTTTCAGAGGCGAAGATTTATCCCTTGTTTCTATTGTGTTTCCCAAGTTCTTTCTTCATTTATATAATTTGATTGAGACTTTGTTGAAAGTAGATGTTTAAAAACTTAGGTAATTAAAAACGAAATGTTTTTATTGCTGTTACTTTATTTCAACTGATTTTTTCGTTTTAGGCGCCATGTTACTGGAGATCAAAGTGAAGTCCACGTGTTTACATCGTCTTCTGGCAAGGGGTGTTCTCAGTGTGAGGTAGTAGGTTGTATGGTTGAGAACTACATCTTTGGGGAGAACTGTACAATCTGCTAACTTTCCTTGGGTCGCTCCATACAACAAGAAGCTCACGTGTTCAACCCGTTCTCCTTTTGAGTTAGCACTTGTTTTTCTTATCTCTACACCCACGTGACGTCTTCTTTTCTTATGTTCGCCTTTTCTTTAGGTTCAAAGCTGTTTTGTAAGTTGAGAATGAACCGGTTTCTTTGTTAAGGATTCTATGAAATATTAAAACAATACTTAAAAGTATTACTGTATGTAAATGTTGACTTTTTTATAATATTACAGTAAGTAAACGTTCTGACCTATGGAGTGAATAATGTAACTACCAGTAAGGAAAGAAATGCTTCTTTTATTGGATTGCAATCTAATTTTATATTGTTACTTCACTCACAATATAGTGAACTATATCAAAGTTCGAAATAACCAGCTTTTGTGTGATAGCAGGTACTAACGCTTAGCTATGGTTAAGAATTTGGCGATCAGACAGTATTTTAGATAAAAACTGTTTTGTGACTTGTTTCTTGAAGTAATTTCTTATTTGGGAGTGTTTTGTGGTATCAGAAGAAGACGTTCTTGCCAACATTTTTAGCATACTTAAGAAGTTCATTTCTGGCTAATGACCCACAGGGTTGACCATTAATAATCTAAGTGTCGTGTGGTTTACTTTGAGTCTCAGTAGCTATTGAAGCAAAAGTGATGCACTTCTACTGTACTATACCAAAAAGTAACGTAACACTACAGAATCTGCCCAGTAGTATTAAGAACACGGAACTAACGAAACAAACGAAGCGTTGATAATGAAGTGTTTTTACTAACCATAAAACATATTCCAGTGCTACAGTTTTAACAAGCAACGAATAAAGTGTAAGATCAGAAAACTTGCACAGATTATGTCTTTGGAGAGAAGGGGTAGGTCGACAATACAAAATGTGGGTGGACTTGAGAAGCCACTGGGACTTAGCAGAAGAGGATTGAGACAGTTTAGTCCTCCTCCTTGTTAGCAGCTGGTTGTCTATTATGAAAGTGGCCTTTGAGAAAGAGTTCTAAAGTAAAAATCTGTTCTTACGCTAACATTATTTACTCTTTAAATATTGATTTAAATGTACAATGAATATGAAAACATTTCCGAGCTAAAAGACTAAACAAAAATGGACATTTTGGTTATGAAATAAATGTTAACCAAATCGTAACAAGATTTGAATAATATAATATCCTAAACACTAAAGTTGTACATAATAAACTACGTGAGCTTCCAGTTGGTCTTCCAATAATATATTATTCTAAACACTAAAGTTGTACATCATAAACTACGTGAGTTTCCAGTTGGTCTTCCAATAATATATTATTCTAAACACTAAGGTTGGTCTTCCAAAGCAACTAAATGTATCGGTTGACCTCCCAAAGCAACCAAGTTTATCAGTTGATTTTCCAAAGCCACTAGGTATATTAAATGGTTTCCCAAAGCAAACAGGGGTGTATTAGTTGGTCTTCCAAAGCAACTAGGTGTGCAACAGTAGGTCTTCCAAGGCAACTAGGTGTAGTAGTTGGTCTTTCAAAGCAATTAAGAATATTAGTTGGTCTCCCAAAACAACAAGATGTAGTACTGGAAACTACTCTGTAGTAGCAAATTTTCATTTATCGGGTAATTTACTTCCGTTCATAATTAACCACCTTGTAACACCTCATAATAAATGGTACTGTATTTCTTTGAAATGTTTAGCTGAGGTATTTGAGGTAGAAATACCCCCAAAAAAAATCAAATGTAACTAACTTGAACTACTTCCAATATTCCCGTGAAATTATCCATCTATCTGGAAAAGTTAATCAGATTTTGTAAGGAGGAAATTGTAATAAAACTGTATGTAGAAAATAAAATATAAAATACACACGCACAGATGAACTTAAACAATAAGGAAAGAAATGCATATATAGATGATCATCACCAGTAAAGAAAGATATTTGATTTTCTGATATATATTTTACAAATAACAAAAAGTTGAGTAACGAGTTAATTATGTATAATGATTTTTTTCAGAGGTAAGCAGCCAGAAATTTTAAAAAGGAAGATGGTACTCAAGAAACAAACTTAGGATTAGGAAAGTAAAATAGGAATTTAATTCCTGGCATGGACATATTGATTAGACTGTGAAACCCTAGTATGGCAAAATGGATTGGCTTTCAAACCCTAGCATGGCAATAGCTATTTGCCAGTTTTGAAAACCTGATGTGAAACTCTGGTTTGGCAGTAGTGTTTTGATTATAAAATTTTGCTTTTGTCAATAAAGATTGACTATAGAACGTAGGCATGGTAATAAGAATTGTCCTTTGAAACCATTGTAATGGTATTGGAGAGTAAAATCCTGGTGTGACAATATGGATTAGGCTGTAAAACACCTATATATGACAAAATGGATTACTCTGTGAAAATCTGGCATAGTAATATGAATAGGCCTGTGAAATTTCTATGGCTATAGCAACTGGATTGTGAAATTCTGGTGTAATAATAGGGATTGGATATGAATTCTGGGGTGACAATAAGGATTGTAGTGTGAAACTCTGACGAGAGAACAAGAATTATACTGAGAAACTCTGGTGTGACAGTAGGGATTAGATATGAACTCTGTGGTGACAATATGTTTAACAGTAAGAATTAAACTACGAATTTCTTGAATGAGAATAAGAATTATACTGTGAAACCCTGGTATGGCAGGAGGGATTAGACAGTAAAATCATGGCATATCAATGGAGATTGGACTACGAACCCTTGATTAACAATAGGTATTAGACTGTAAAAACCTTGTTTTGACAGTAGGTATTAGACTGTGAAACCTTGTTTTGACAGTAGGTATTAGACTGTGAAATCCTGGGATGGCAATAAGTATTAGACTGTGAAACCTTGTTTTGACAGTCGGTATTAGACTGTGAAACCTTGTTTTGACAGTCGGTATTAGACTGTGAAACCTTGTTTTGACAGTAGGTATTATACTGTGAAACCTTGTTTTGACAGTAGGTATTATACTGTGAAACCTTGTTTTGACAGAAGGTATTATACTGTAAAACCCTGGGATGAAAATAAGTATTAGACTGTAAAACCTTGTTGTGACAGAAGGTATTATATTGTGAAACCCTGGTGTGACAATAGGTATTCGACTGTGAAACCTTGTTTTGACAGTAGATATTATACTGTGAAACCTTGTTTTGACAGTAGGTATTAGACTGTGAAACCTTGGTGTGACAGTAGGTATTATACTGTGAAACCTTGGTGTGACAGTAGGTATTATACTGTGAAACCTTGTTTTGACAGTGGGTATTATACTGTGAAACCTTGTTGTGACAGAAGGTATTATATTGTGAAACCCTGGTGTGACAATAGGTATTAGACTGTGAAACCTTGTTTTGACAGTAGGAATTATACTATGAAACCCTGGGATGAAAATAAGTATTAGACTGTGAAACCTTGTTTTGACAGTAGGAATTATACTATGAAACCCTGGGATGAAAATAAGTATTAGACTGTGAAACCTTGTTGTGAGAGTAGGTATTCTACTGTCTCCCAGAACAAAGATTGTCACTTGTGATACAGAACACGTAATTAGTTCTTCTCAAAGCATTAAATATATTTATAGAAAAACGTTCAGTTTGATAGGGACCTAAAGGAAGCTAATGAAACAAGATGGTGCAGAAACTTGAAAAAGCAGTAGTAATTCAAAATCCTTTTGCCATTCATAGTGATAGATATTTCAGTGGACCATAAGCAGATTAAAGCACAGTTTCATTATATGGCATTATATAGATACCCCTAATACTGGGGTATTTTAGATACAATACATACCTCTAGTTCTGGGGCATTTTAGATACAATAGATACCCCAAATAACGGGGTATCTACTTGAACCGTTACACCTGTTTACCTGATGCAAAAAAAGAACCCATGCTACGTTAGACATCATTTGCAATTGGTTGCGCGTATTTTGCTACTGACCTCCTCGTTCAGTTGAACTCTCATTAATGGGATTAAGGGGTTAAAATGGCTGGCAATCTCGAACCTATTACTTAGCCATTTAAACCCAATCTTTGGGGTTGGGGACGACCTGAAATTCATCGACATTTGTTCAGCCAGATTCTCGCAGCAACATTTGAAGCTAGACAACTGTGCTTTATATAGAGAAATTATAGAGACGATGTAAATCCACAACATTTGAAGCTAGACAACTGTGCTTTATATAGAGAAATTATAGAGACGATGTAAATCCACAACATTTGAAGCTAGACAACTGTGCTTTGTATAGAGAGATTATAGAGACGATATAAATCCACAACATTTGAAGCTAGACAACTATGCTTTATATAGAGAAATTATAGAGACGATGTAAATCCACAACATTTGAAGCTAGACAACTGTGCTTTGTATAGAGAGATTATAGAGACGATATAAATCCACAACATTTGAAGCTAGACAACTATGCTTTATATAGAGAGATTATAGAGACGATATAAATCCACAACATTTGAAGCTAGACAACTGTGCTTTATATAGAGACGATGTAAATCCACAACATTTGAAGCTAGACAACTGTGCTTTATATAGAGAGATTATAGAGACGATATAAATCCACAACATTTGAAGCTAGACAACTGTGCTTTATATAGAGAGATTATAGAGACGATGTAAATCCACAACATTTGAAGCTAGACAACTATGCTTTATATAGAGACGACATAAATCCACAAATATGAAGCTAGACAACTGTACTTTATGTAGAGAGATTATAGAGACGATATAAATCCACAACATTTGAAGCTAGACAACTGTGCTTTGTATAGAGAGGTTATAGAGACGATATAAATCCACAAATTTGAAGCTAGACAACTATGCTTTATGTAGAGAGATTATAGAGACGATATAAATCCACAACATTTGAAACTAGACAACTGTGCTTTGTATAGAGAGGTTATAGAGACGATATAAATCCAAAATTCTCTGAACAAAATGTAAACATTTTTCAATATTTAAACAAGGTAATTTACGTTTTCTATATATTGTAGCACGCTTCATTCACGTTACAAATACTGTTAACAGAATAAGATGTTTCTTGTTGATATGCACGAAATAAGCACATTTTATCATTATTCTTCTAGAGATAACGTACGTGTGTTTTTTAGAATCTCACACAACCATATGCATTAAATTTTTCGAATAAATGAAATAAGAATAAGCTATGTGTAACAACTTGTCTTTTTTTTACT